CAGAATTAAGAGAATCAAGATAGTCAGGAACATGAGCTAGCGATCAATAGCCGAGGAACCCGGAATGTCAAGCATTTCCAAAATCTTCTTGAAGTTTCCAGAGACTTGAATTGTTTCAACCAGTATTTGATAACTCATGGAAATTGCCAATGAGGACGCTACAGAAATTAATTATGAGAGCAACATCCCAGCCAAAGAAAATGGCAGATGTGTGCGGTTTGACCAAGATAAGGCTAAATCCAACTCAAGACAGCTCAACAAAATAAAGGATTTCTAGAATATTACTTATAAAGTAAATACTCTATAATCATGACCTTGTGTCAGAACTGAACTACAGTCGATATATAACAAGGACACTTTATTATGTCACAGTGGTCAGGAAGTAGATTGCTTTGGTTTATTTTGTTTTACGGCATATCAACCTCAATGGGTTATGTATGCCGGTAAGGTTTTTGCCAAAGATTCGTTTGAATAGGATATGTATTCATTGTAAGAAATCAGTTTGTAGATCAGGTTTCAGTGGTGTATTTTTCTAAAGAGGGCTTTTTGTCGAGAGTATAGTTGGTAATAATTTTTTTCAAAAATGTACTGCTGGTACTTTTACTATAAGAATCTGTTTTTATACATTCATATTGTTTTGGGCCCAGTCTAGGGGTTAACTATTTGCTCACAGCTAGGCACCTAACAGGTACTACCACTCCGGGTCAAGGTGGCCCTGAGAACAACAGCAATTAAGAATCTTCTGATCAGAGGCCTTGCTCCCTGATGTAGTTTATCGTCATACCCAATACGCAAGAAGAAGAAATTATAGAGCATTCGTATTGAGCGTTGTCTTCACTAGGTTTTGGTTTGTTTTCTTTTACGGCATATCAACACCTCAATGGGTTATTCAATGCCGACAAGATTTTTATTGCTTGTAATATTTTTTCCAAAAATATATTGCTGGTAATATTTATTTTCAAATATGTATTGCTGGTAATAATGTATTGCTGGCAATAATTTTTTATTCATAATATAGCGCTGGTAATAATTTTTCCAGAAAAGTGTTGCTGGTATTAAAACCTATTTTTATACTTTCATTGTGTTTTGAGCCCCTTTTTTGATGGTTGGGGGTGAACTCTTTTCCATAGCTGGAACCTTGCTACCACTCCAGGTCAGAGTGAACCTGGGAACACCAGCAATTCCACGATCCTTAAAACCTCCTGATCAAAGTCCTTGCTGTCGGATGTAGTTTATCGTCTTACCCAGGACGCGGATCTATTTTATCATCTCGCCCGAGACGGTCTTCACTAGGTGCTCCCTACTTGTAGCCTTGTGTCAAAACTAAGGTATTCGTATTAAATAACGAAATCGCATTTATTTAGTTTTCTATGGAATATATTTGGACAGGCAGGCATCTACGTATTTAATTTATTTCTGAGTTTTCAACGGACACTTACCTCGACTTTAAGCGTTATATATTAAATTGCTGTATGTAAGGAAATTTGTAACATCAGTAAAAAAAAAAATATTTTTAAAGAAGACTCTACCGGTTGTCACGCTTTCCTTTTTTTTTGTTTAAATTTTATTTTGAATGCTGGATCCAATATGGTACAGAAATTCCAATGCGTAAACATTTATTGTTTATCGGCAAACTCATATAATGCCGATTTTTTTATTCTCTATTTTTACGCACATTTTAGAACGGTTCGTAATCTATTATTTTAATCTAATTCCAGATATCTTATCTAAAGGCTTTAGGGAGAACTCATATACTGTTTACTTATCTGACTTTAATCAAATTCCACTGAGTTTATTTGTTAAAGTTCTTTTCTCCCTCTTTTCTCTTCATATACGAAGAATGAACGAAGCAAACAAAAATACAAGTCGATCCAGGATAACTCAATACGAAGCGCAAGAGTCACTCAAGGTAGATTGTTATTGTATGGCTGAGTGGCGGTTAGAACGTTCGCTTTTCGACCATGCGATCCAGGTTCGACTCTCATCAAGAAGGTGACTTCCTGAAGTTATCGGTCTGGGGTCTGACCCAAGCCTTGTAAGAGAAATCGGGTAGACGGAATTATTTGGAAAGCCGTCAATGGTTGTGCTAACACGGAGTCACAGGTCATCGTGGCCGAGGGTTTAAGCGTGCTGGCCTTGTTCAGGCTGTTGATCAAACTAGACAACGTGTTCTCGCCCAGAAACTGTAACTAAGGTCCACTCCGCGTAGTTGCAGTCAACAGTCACAGGTAGGTTCTGTGTGCGTTGAACAAAGTGAATTGTGCCTGAAAATGTGTCAGCAAAAGGGATCGGTTAACTAGGCCTATTCTGATATGAGCGGCCAGACACTACGATGGTGATGTATGTTCATATAAGGCCCAAGAGCAACTCAAGGTAGCGGGTTACTGTGTGGTGTTGTATAAGTGTAATAAAAGCAAGAATTGCAGTTCATGAGGTTATATAGGAAAGATAACAATTAACCCTAGACTTTAAGGGGTCAAGATTGTAATGATTGGGGAAACATCCTGCCAGGAGTCTGTTCCACAAATCAGCTCTTGGGAAGAAGCTGTCCGAGTGGAAGTTACTTTTTACTAATGGAATATGAAGGAAATGAGTATGATTCATCTTCATGTATGTGGCTTGGTGGGTCCTAGCTGTAAATTTAAGGGTTGGTGCACATGGTGGGATCAATTTATGTATGTGGTCGGTGGGACCAAAATTATGCAGCTCATCAGAACACTTGCCATGAAAATAGCAACAGAGTAGCAAGAGGTTTGTGGCATTTCATCTGTAGGAAAGGGGTTGTAAAGGGAAAATTAGAGAGAGAGAGAGAGAGAGAGAGAGAGAGAGAGAGAGAGATGCGATGTTTAATCTGTGGGAAATTCTAAGGTGGAAAATAATTCAGTACGCACAAGGACGCAGAGATCTTTTGGGACTTTATCCAGACTGAAAAGGGAAGACTAAGCAGCTTCAACACATATGGCAGCTGTAGTTTATTTTCGGCTTGGTCTGGCTCGTGTAAAGTAGAATCTAGTAATTTCATGTGCTGTGTAGAGAACCCTCGAGTATCTTTAGTGATAGAGCCTTCTTTAGGGAACATCCATTCCTTGCGAGAGACGGAAAATCAGGACCTGCTCGGTGATCATTTTCGAAAAGTTCAATAAAATTTTACTTTTTTAGGGTTTCAACATTTGTTTTATTTTCTGCTAATTTATCCCTCGCCCGGTGGTATTGAGTGAGTGGGGGGGAATGTATTACCGTCTGTCTAACAAGGTATTTATGCAGATGACACTCCCGTTTACCCCTCTCTCCATAGCAATCCGACAGATCTGGCAAGGTCAACCTAGAAGCTGCTCTTGGAAAAGGACCTCCAAACAGTGGTTAACTGGGGCAAGAAATACTTCGTAAATTTTATCGCCTCCAAAACAAAACTGCTTTCATTTAATGGCTACAGATAACTTTTTCTATCTTCCATCGGCACGACTGACGCGAGACTCCAAGCGAACAACACATTGCGTCATCTTGGTCTCACATTTTCCACTGACTTGAAGTGAAACAACTACATCGAATCAATAGCTGCATCTACTGCAAGGAGAGTTAGGTCACTGTAACGTGCCAAAATCCAGAATCCATCTTGCACATTCGTCCATGCATTGAATACTGTTGCCATATCTGGTCTGGTGTCCCTGATGTTTATCTCGAGGTTCTTGACAAAATCCAAAGAAGGATCTATAATGTAATCGATCCTGACTTGGCATCTCGACTTCAGTCTCTTTTTCACCGACGTGACGTGACATCCCTCTGTATTTTCTACAAATATTTTCATGGCAACTGCAATGACGAGCTTTTACCTTGGTGCCCCAACTGCATGAATTTCAGCCTGCTACGAGGTTGGCATCTAAGTCCAACATGTTGAAAAAGTTAAATATAACCAGTACTTCTACTCCAACAGTTTCTTTCCTCGCCCTTCCCAAAAGTGGAACTCCCTTCCGTTTACTTGCTTCTCTGATAACTACAATCTACGAAAATTTAAATGCAATGTCAGATGCCATCTTCTGTTGACTTGAACCCGGTTGATCTTTTATCCTTTCCTCAATTCTTCCTATACCCAGTTTTTTTTTCTCTCACTTTCACTCTCTGTAAACTTCCTGCGTACTAGTGACATTCCCGCCATGCTTGGTGGGAAATGATTAAAAAAAAAACTTATATGAAACTTAGTAAAATTCTGTATATGCGTGTGTGCATGTGCTTGTAGTTGCATTAAGTTACACGCGATCAGCAAAGACAAATACTTGACACACGCGCATGCGCAGTGTGTGTGACGGGCAGAGAATCAATTCTTGTTTTCTAATATTGATCGATCTTTTTTTTCCTTTTATTTCTTTCTCCACGTTCACTTTCTTCTAAAACTTTTTATTATTACCCTCAATTTTTCCAAACATAATACAAGATCCGCTCTGATTCTCTTCTATTGGCAAATTACCAAATGCGGCCTTCCAGGAAATAATTTGATTCTTCCTCACTGGCCAACATGGCAAGCGCCGCCATTTTCTTACAAGCTGTTAATTTTATTCAAATTTTCTCTTCGGCCATTTTATTTTCATTTTCACTCTACTGTCATTTTTGTTTCTGTCTTCGTTCGAACTGAAAAACAAGGTTAAAAATGTCTTTATAACCTTAGGAAATCTATACTTTTAAACGCGGGAACAATTATTTCTTGTATTCAGGCGTCTTTTAAAGCTTTGTTTATTTTCATTTATCCATTGTTTACTTCGGTTATAAGTGTGGTTTTCATATTTTTCTTTATTTTGGTCATCGTTTTTAAAACATAGTTCACTTTCATAGAAAAAGCTACCTTTTATGAGAAACCTATATTTTTTTCTGGTAAAGGTATTTTTTTAATTTTTTAATTTTTTAAAAAGAAATTGCTATATCGTTGTTTTTCTTATTTTTAGAGATTTTTAAAAATTAATATTTGAATAATTTTCTTTATTTTGTTTTTGTTCTACTTTTTTATTCAGTCGGGTTTTATTTTGTTTTATTTTATACCATCTTTTTCTTTTTTTCTTTTTGATTTCTCTTTTTATTTTGCTACATTTATCTATTTTTTTCATTTTTCCTTTATTGTTCTTTCCTTTATTTTATCTTTTTCCTTTTTTATTCTGCTTCATTTTATCCTCTCTTTCGTACATTTCCTTCTTCTTACATTTTCTTTTGTTCTTACTTATTTTATTTCTTTTTATATTTTCTTTCTTTCTTTGTTACATTTTCTTTCTTTCTTTGTTACATTTCCTTTCTTTTCGCATTTTCTTTCTATCTCTCTTTTCTTACATTTTCTTTCTTTCTTTCTCATTCTTTTTCAATTTTCATTCTTTCTTTATTATTTTCTTTCTTTCTCTCTCATTTTAAATTTTCTTTCTCTCTTTTATACATTTTCTTTTGCTTTTCTTGTAGTTTTCGTTTTCCCTTTTTCGTCTTTTTCGTCTTTTTTCACTTGTTATTTCACGTCTGATATAGTTTGTTTTGTTTTTCATTTTTAACTCTTCTGTTCTTTTTTTTGATATTTGATATTTTTCTTTTCTTCTCTTTCCTCTCTTTTGTCTTCCTTTGCCATTTTACGCCTGCATTTTCTTTCTTTCTTTCTTTCTTTCTTTCTTTCTTTTCTATTATGCATTATGTTCAACGTTATGGCGAAGAAAATAGGAAGTTCAACTTTAAAAGTACGAAAATTTATTCTGTTTTCTGCATTTTCGTTCAATTAAACAACCGCCTTCTCTTATCTATCTATCTATCTATCTATCTATCTATCTATCTATCTATCTATCTATCTATCTATCTATCTATCTCAGTCTCCTCCTATCTATCTATCTATCTATCTATCTATTCTATCTATCTATCTATCTATCTATCTATGTCAGTCACTTGATATCTATCAATCTATCTATTGCTTTCTAATCATTCTTCGACCAAACTAACATTTGCCCCCGGCCTGTACTCAGCGCGCTGACAATTAAGGAACCTGCATTCGACAGAAGACGAAATATTTCGTGCCAACATAAAAATGGCCGCCTTTGCATATTGTACATTTGGCACGACAACACCGAGAACCGCTAATGGCTGAGGCCGGGTCGTCAGTAGTGTTGGCAGACTAGAAGGCGAAAAGACCACAAGACCAAGGCGTAGGAGGAGGTGATAAGGACTAATGCTAATCACTATAATAACGTTATCCTCAAATGCCAGGTGTGAATCGAAATGCGAGTAAAGCCTTCGAACTTAACCCTTTGTAATGTGGTCCTCTCGGAAGGCGTGGATTTGCAAATAATACGAGAGCAGATAGCAAAATAGCTGCCAGGCCCAAGAGCCCTCGAAGTTGATAGTTACTGAATGGAATGAGTGATATGAACATAAGAGAAGGAAGATGAAAATGAAGATGACGAAGATGTGGCGGATAGATAACAATTGAGCCTAGATTTGATAAAGTTATGATTGTACTGTTGTGGGGAAACATCTACGTGGGAGTCTGTTTCACAATGTAGGAGGTCTTGTAGAGAATGTTTCGGAGTGGACAGCTCTTCCTATACAAATGGAATTTAAAAAAAAATCTTTTCGCCCCAAGCAAAAATGCGATAATGCCACTAAGATGCAAAGGGTTAGTGTGAGGGAAAGAGAATGATAAGATTTTAGTGAAGAGAAAGGACAATAAAAATCAAGTCTCAAGAAGACAAAAGATGGCGATAATGGCACTAGAACTGTGGGTGTTAGAGAATGAGAAGACTTTAGTGAGGAGAAAGGGCAATAAAAAACAGGTCTCAGGAAGACAAAAGATGGCGATAATGCCACTAAGACGCAAGGGCTCACAGGGAGAGGAAGAGAATGAGAAAACATTAGTGAGGAGAAAGGACAATAAAAAAACAGATTTCGATAAGACAGAAAATGACTATAATGCCACTAAGATGCAAGGGGTTACTGGGAGTAAAAGACAATGAGAAGTCTTTAATGAGGAGAAAGGATAATAAAAAAACAGGTCTCACGAAGACAAAAAATGGCGATAATGCTACTAAGACACAAGGGGATACTGGGCGTGCAAGAGAATGAGAAGACTTTAGTGAGGAGAAGTGAGGAAAGGACAATAAAAGAACAGGATTCATGAAGTAAAAAGATGGCAACTGACGTTAGATTTAAATTTTTGAAGATTGTAGATGGCAGAGAAGCAAGAAATCGGGAGTTCAGTCGGCAAGAAAAGAAACCATTAGAATAGGACATACAGTTGCATCTAGTAGTTCAACAGTAAAGCGGTGAGATCTCGTTACCAATTTAGTAGCAAGCTTAGTCGAGACACTAAGGAGGAAAGCTAATTAGAATAATTGGCAAGAAAATATTTGTAGAACATCGTCTTGTGTATGACGATATACTACATCCGGCAGCAGAGCCTCTGATCGGGAGAGTAGGGGTTTTGCTGCGCTTAGAACCACCTCTTAATTTTTGTTGTTCCCTGGTTCACCCTTACCCGGGGTGGTAGCACCTATCGGAATAATAATAATAATAATAAAATCTCGAAAATGTGGCATATGGGAACATCAACAATCCCTGTTGTAGTTGGAGCCCTAGGAGTGGTTGTAAAAGATTGCAGTAGACTAATTGAAGGGATTCCTGGAAGTCCATGCCTCAAGGAGATACAAAAAATTGTTCTGACAAGTACAGTCCACACTTTGCGAAGGGCTTTATCTATGTAGTTCTTTTTTTTGTCAGTGGAAAGTGTCATGATGCCATTTCTAACCTTAGAAAAGAAATGTGTAAACGCCAGAAATCAAAGAAAATAAAAATAATAATAATAATAATAGTCCCCCCCCCAAAAAAAATCAAGACTAAATATTTATAGCAAAATGACCAACAACACATTGTTTATAGTAAAATTACCAGGAATACAAGTTTTTTAAATTACCAACAATACATATTATGATTTACAAAGTATATATCTAATGAAACATAGCTTGCACACAATATTTAGATTTCGGCATTAAATAACTTATGGAAGTGGTGATATGCCGCTAAACAAAATCAACCAACGAAAGAATATGTATATGCATTGCAAGCTGAGTTTCATCTACTATGCATTCAATTTTGAAAGCAGAATAACATATAACTTATTTTTTATTACTTCAAAGACCCCTAGAAAATTAAATTTCGGCTTTAAATGACACATAAGGAGTTAATGGGCCGTTAAACAAATCAATTTGTAGGAAAGACAGAAGGAAGCCATAGTGGTGGGGCAGTAACTGAAGTCGAGATACCAGGTCAGGATCGAATACAGTACAAGCCCTTCATTGGATATTGTTAAGAATGTTTTATTTTCTCATGTGGATGTAGCAAGTTGAGTCTTGGGTGTGGTGTAAAGATCTGAGTTGGGGGTATTCAAAAATGGAGATCATCTGAACAATTTCCATTGAAGTAGCGATAGAATAGTGGTATGGTTGCGATGTGAAAAAAGAGGCTGTAAGGTTGGAAATGCTATTCTGACCCAAGAATAGAAAGTTAGGATTGGGCAACTCCAGCCCAGATATGGCACCAGTACTTTATTTTTGGTTTCATCTGACTTATGTTAAAGCCTGGCAGAATGTGCCTGGGTACGTTCTGGATTCCTGCAAAGAGTCGATCATTTTCACAGCTTTACTTAGCAATGTATCGTACATACGAGTACCACTTTAAGTCTGGGGCGTGCTTGTCTCTACTTTTCATGTAGGTTATGAATAAAGAGGACACGGTTTCTATCAGCTCTCTGCTTAAGTGAGATTTTCAGTAAGTTTTTTTAAGCATTTCACCCGAAGCAAGACGGGAGTAAGAGTAAAGAGAGTAGTTTGAGGAAAGGGCATGGAAAAAGACGGGGATCAAGATCAATATCAAGGCATCAGATGATGTCGATTGATATTACATTTGTATATTTAAAAGTTATAGCTATCAGGGAAAGAAGTAAGAGGAAGGGAGTTCCACTGTCGGGAAGTGCAAGTGAGGAAGCTGTTGGAGTAGAAGAGGCGGTTACATTTAACTGTTTCGAGAGTAAAAGGGTTGGGCCGAGCTGCCAGCCAAGTAGCACGTTTAAATTCATGCAGTTGGGGGTATCAGTGAAAGTAGCTCGTCAGAGTAGTTGTCATGAAAATATTTGTAGAAAAGACAGAGGGAAGACACACTACGATTTTGAGAAAGTGACTGGAGTCGAGATGCCATTTTTTCTTGTATAAATAAGATTTTAAAATATTTTTAAATTAAAATTCATTTTTGTAATGCGTTTTATTTTGCAGAGGCACCGATCTAAGAATGCAATATCTTTTGTGATATGAATGGATTTTATTGCAACGATAAGGTATTCTACAAGGGACAGATCTGGAGAGCTTAAAGCATATGTAATTTCTCTGAGAATCCTCGGATTACTAGTTATCTGCGCTCAGACTATTGTTGTCCGATTTTAATTAACGACTTCTAATTATTTAATACCGTACGATAACCGAAGTTAAGCTACGTTGAGCCTGGTCAGTATCTAGATAGATGACCATTTAAGAATACCAGGTACTGTAAACTTGGATGTGCGGGTGGTGTAATGTATATTGGCTCGGAATTTTTAATCGGGAAGCTGAATTCAAATTCCCGTTGAATTCGTTAAATTTACAAAATTACGCGCAAATACTTTTGGTAAAGGTATAAATCAACATATTCCCCCCACAACTATGGATTAATTACTACAAATTGTAATACGAAACCATTATTATCTCACCAAGCAAGATTCTTACAACATATTTCCTGGCTTTAAATAACATGCAAAGTGTAAAGGTGTAAAAAAAAATAATCAACCAACATATACAAAATATCTATAAATCATTGTATATTTCAGATTTTAAAAGAGACTTTTTTAATACAATATTGATAAAATATTAGTGTTTATTTACTTACGTATTTCATTAGCGGCTCAGATTGAGAAATCGAAGAGCCGAGTTCGAATTCCAGTCGAATCATTACGTTCGTTTACGAATATTATTTACGTGGTCGCTATTAAAAAAAAATAATAAATGTAAAATAAAAAAATTAAAAAAATATATACTATATACATCGTACAAATATATGCACAGAAACACATCAATCCAATATTTATAAAACTTCAACTATAAATATGGGCATCTAACTAAGAAAATGCAAATGTAAACATAAATATTATGAAATGTCAATATGCATATGCACAGTGGATTGAGGAATTGGAGAACCGAGTTCGAATTCCAGTCGAATCCATTACATTCACTTACGTGCTAATACTCTTGGGAAAGGTATGAATCCTCTTCTTCTCGCTCCAGCTATGGGTAAATAGCAGGACAGAGTGGGTTCTATAGCCTTGGATGACAACTGGTCTACCGCGGAAAGAAATGGCAACCTACTGCAGGAAAAAAATCTGCCTCTTCAGTCATGTATCGAAAGATAAATGATCGCCTAAACGTGTATCACGTCTGGGACATAACTGACTGATTTCATATTTATGAATATCACCTTCCTAAAAAATACGACATTGAGCGCTCTAAGGCTCAGCAGCATAAACATTCGGTGTTTGAAATCAGCTTTGAATCAGAAGTCTCGAATGAAATCACTCTCACTGACATAAAATTTGCACTTTCTAACCACTCGTACATGTTGAGCAGTCGGATCTTTCGTGTTCTCATTAAATATTCAGTATCGATATGTCTAAAAATGTTAGTATCCAACAAGTTGCCTCTCTATATTTTTAATTTTGTTTTAACCTACCTCTCTTTGCGTATCTCTTGGATTAGTGGTGTGAGTATAAAGTTGGTGAGACAGATTTTTTATGTATGTGAAGAATTGTTATCTGTCCGCCAATTCACGTTTTATCTTCGTTGTTTAGAGATATTCCAAAGGATGTTCTACATCCCCTATCAATTCGGTAATTTACCAATTGAGAT